ATCTAATAGAAAAACACTTCCGACGTCTTTTCTCCAGAAATCATTTCCTTACTATAATGAAAAAACAATTCCGTCGTTTTTTTTCCAAAGCTCATTTCATTAATAATAATTGAAAAACAGTTCCGACGTCTTTTTCCCAGAATTTATTTCATCAGTTTAATGGGAAAACAGGCGTGGCATTTTTTGTTTTGAAAAAGATTTATTCATTCGAAAAGACGGTTTTGTGTTTATATGTTATTTGGGGACACATATATTCACAAATAGAGCTTTTGAGTTCCATGGAAAGTGGATGACACCAGATCAAACATATACAGTCGTAAACGATGGTTTAGGAAAAAAAGAAGATCTACGAAGCAATATGAAGATCATGAAAAAATACGGAGTGATTGAAAGATAAACAACGAACAATATGTAAGTATTCTAGTTTATTAATTTACTTTTTTTATTTTACATCAATATCTGTGATACAAACTATCGATAAGTATTATTTTAAAATAAATTATCTTTTTGCTATTTTAGATCAAGATCAATGGTACAACGAATATATAAACTAAACTTTAAATCAATAGCATTTTTTACTCCTTGTAGAATACAAAAGAGAGGAAACGAGTTACATTTTTACGGGAAAATACGATTGTAAACGATTCGCATACGATCTCGGTATTGCTCCGTATGCGAAGGTCGTACGGTTCGATGTGGGAAGATGATAAACATAAAGAATGATCGATCTAACAAAACTGAACTTGAAAAGACAATACTCAGCATTTAGTTACAGATGAAGTTTTCTATAAAAATAAAAATAATTCTATTGAAACTGATTCATCCACTCAAATTCAATAAACAGAATCTAAATATTTCAAACATATTTCACAGATTATACAATAAAGTCGATCTTTAGTATTCAAATGGAGAATAATCCGGCGAGCTGTTTGATTAGGCAGCAGAACCAAAGGAAACTGAACACTTTTTCTAAGTCAAACTGACTGCATTTAAATTTTTTCGGTGTCTATAACATGACCCATGTCATGAAAATGGCTCAAAAATTGGCGATATATCGCGATTTATCGAAACGATAATCGTCCAATTAATCACTGTTTAATCGTCGATTTGTGACGATTACTATGATTTATCACGATTAATCGCTGATTTCCCAATATATTACTGCAGTAGTATCGCCGATTTTATCCAGTATAATCGCATCTTGAGAGTGTGGGTGTGTACGATGAGAAAACATACCCACACGCACACCCACACGCACATCCACACCCCACACCTACACTCACACACCCGCCCTCAACATTGCTTCTGTTCAATAAAATTCAATTCAATTCGATTTTTATTTCAATTTAATTTAAATTACAAAATATTCTCTTTTCTTTTCTTGTATAAAATTTGACAAAAACCAGTATAAGATGATCTATTTAACATTTATTTATTTGAATTATTTTATCAAAATTATCAAATTAAATTCAACTTGAAGGTGTGGGTATGAGTGGATAGTGTGGCTGGATGTGGGTGTTGGTGTGTTTGTATGTATAGCGTGTCTTTGATACCCACATCCATACCCTCAAGATATTATTGAACAAATTAAACCAAGATGATAATAAAAGTATAATAGATTTTCTTTTTATAAATCGTCCCATGTAACAGTAACTTTGGATTCGATTTCTTTGACTGTACGTTCAACATCATTTTTACTGACTAACTCAATAAATCTTTCGGCTTTTTCTTTATCAATTGATTCTCCACTTATTTCGATCGATAGGTCGTAACTAAATTTATATTGATTAGTGGCCACCCAATTATCGTCACATTCTTCGAATATATGTATATATACGTATGCGTTAACCTTCGTCCAAGATACTGAATTTTTTGCTTCATAAAATTTGTTAAATTGAACGATTTTTGACAATCTCTGGCCTCGTTGAGCCCATGCCTTCGCCGCTGCGCCATAATTAGTTCTGATATCCTCCGCTAATTGTTCTGGCCGTATTTCTGTGACTCGCTGACGTTGAAAAGCTGTTTTAATTGAATCACGTAAGTTTTTTTGAAAGTTATCCAGATTTTTATTCTTCTCATCTCCCATTATTTGTCTAATGGCTGAAATATCATCCTTGAATGCAATTTTCTTAACTATTTTCTTTTGTTGCAAAAATTTCACTAATGTACCAGGAATACGCTTGTAAATGGCCAGCCCTTTATCATAAGTATTACCAGAAAAGAGACTTAGTATTTCGTTGCCTTCGTTTACAGTTGCCACTTGAGCGCCACAGCCAACGAAAAAGAAGCATGAAAGTAGAAAAATCGCGTTCGTTATAGCGATCGAAGTGGCAAATATGCCTGAGTACGTAGCTAAAGCCATATCAAGTAATTTTGATATATATTTCGAAATGTATTTGAAACTATTAAATTAAGATAACCGTTCTCTTTGATAATTCGTAGCCAAAAATATATAGTTCCAGTTAAGGATGATTTTGTGTAATACGTGTGTTATTTCAAACTGTGTAATGTTGAATATTCCAATGTAGGTGTGAAATGAGAAGACTACGATATACGCATTTATATATATGTATATACAAAGGAAGAAAAATAATGCGTGTTTTATCCCATGACAAACAAGGGAATTAACTTTGTACAGAACAAAAATAACCAACATCATTTCGTGTCTTTTTTTTTGTTCGTTACAAGGTTAATTCCCTTGTTTGTCATGGGATAAAACACGCATTATTTTTCTTCCTTTGTATATATATATATAAATGCGTATATCGTAGTCTTCTCATTTCACAGCTTGAAATAACACACGTATTACACAATATCATCCTTAATTGTAACTACATATTTTTGGCAACAATCAAGTACAGACCACAAAGTATACAAGAGAGGAATTAGATTATTTTCACAATTTCAAACACAAATATCAATTAATATGGCTCTCTTTCTATATACAATCAGCGCATTGTTGCTCTTAATACCTGCTGATGTTCATGATAAAACAAAGGAAATTTACAATCGTATTCCTGGCACGTTATTAAAATTTTTTGATCCAAAAACAATAGCAAGAAAAGTCGAATGTAGTGAACATGACTTGATCAATGAAAAATCTATTGAAAGTGATAATAATGAAGAATGGAAAAAGGATGGTCATGAAGTAAAGAAAGAAACAGTATGCAGTAGTAATGTGCTGTGTACTGAACGTGGAATTGAAAATGAACACAATAAAGATTATAATAATCTTCGTGGCCATTTGCGCAAGTCATTAAGGCAAATGTTTCGTAATGACAAAACAATCGAAATAAGTACAGATGATGTTGCTCAAGCAATTGCAACAAAATGTTTTAAGGAATGTCCGGATTGGGGAAAAGAAAACAAATATTCGTCCGTAATACTTCGATTTGATAGTTCTTATGTAACGAATAATGATTCGGTAAAAACGAATATTCAAGTATATGTCTATGCTCATTTAATCTTCGAATGCAAAATGTCGTTCTTCAAAGGAGGGCAATGTAAAACTAGTTACGATTTAACAATTGAATTAAGTGGAATTTCAATAGATCCGTTAAAAATATCAGAATTTTCTCTATTTGTTGCCAAAAATAGTGTTTCAGATTCAATCAAAGCGATCGAAACAAACGTTCCATTAACATGGGAGGATTTGGATGACACAGGTTCCAGGCAAGCAAGTACACCAAAGCCCGTATTGACACGAAATGATTTGGACGATACCGGCTCAACGCAAGCAAGTACACTAAAGTCCACATTGACACGAGAGGATTTGGATGATACCGGTTCCAGGCAAGCAAGTACACCAAAGTCCACATTAGCATGGGACGATCTGTAGAAGGAGGATCGATTCTGATTTTGCGGCAATACCGGTTTCGTTTCTATACAAAATGATTATCCTTATCATTCTTTTTCTTTGTACAACTTACTGAAACAAAACAACATATCAAATGCTAAATATATTTGTCATGTAAACAGTTCTGAAGAAATACAATATAAGTAGTAAAGGTGTTACTGCGACAAAAATTTTGATCAATTGAATGAAACTTAGTTAATACCGTGCATGTAAGCCTTGCTTAATGGCTTCATCAGGTCACTCGAGGATGCGTATAGGATGGTATGAGATAAGAACAACACACCCACCTACACCTGCCCCGCAAAATTAAGAGCTGCCTACTATTCTGTGGTAATATGTTTTAGTTGAGGTAGAAGATAACAGGACACAATGATTTTTTTTCCTTTTTAAATTGATAATAGTTTCCAACATAGAACTTTAGATGAGAAACGGAGTATATATTGACACTCATGTATGGTAAACCTCCATGCGTTGTATGTTCATAAAAAATATTTCGATTGTTATTTAAATTAGAATTATAAATAGAGTTTAAAAAAAACGAAATACGTAGTAAAATATTAGAAAGAAATTTTTCATTATTTACGAGCTTTGGATGCTAATCTTGCATCATCATCATGCATGATGATTAAAAGATTTATTATTTTAGGGTGTGGGTGTGAGTGTGAATATGGGTGTGACGGTGCGAGTGTGGATGAGGGTGTGGTTGTAGGTGGGTGTGGGTGTGAATGTGGGAGTTCTTATTAGATAAACAAGTAACACTCAACTCCATAGCCATACCCTTAAGTTTTTATATAGACTTTTTATTCAAAATCAAAAATAAAGAAAATGTTGAATTTTTTTTTCTGAAATTGAAATGAATTCAATTTGATAAAGAAATTATGAAATATTTATTTTAATTTCTTTGAAAAATAGAACAAATCTATTTGATATCAAAAATCAAATTTAAATTTTGGATTATTTCATAACTTTTAGTATCAATGTTTTATTTTATTTCAATCTCTTCTTCATTTTTCTTCCATAAATTATTGTGTTTGCTTTTCATCTAAATGAAAATGTTCATTGATTTATTTTGAAATTTATTTTTATTGATTTCATTTTGTCAAATCAATTTTCGCTTCAATTTTTATCAACAAATTTTTAAGATCGAACCACTAAAATTACAAAATGATAAAATTTGTTAATTTATTAAACAAAAATCTTTTCAACATTTGTCGTAGTCAGTAAAATACATTGCAATAAAATTTTTCTAAAACATTTCTTCTCTCTTCAATTTTAGACAATTTGATTATTTTCATCAAAAATAAAACTACAAACTAGAAAACATTTTCTTTTCTTTTCTAAAAAATTCGACAAAAATTAACAAAAGATGAAGAATTTAACATTTGTTTATTCGAATTTTTCTAATGAATATTACCAATTCAATTCAAGGTTGATAAAAAAAAACCAAAAAGATTTTTCTTCGTTATTTTCTTATCAAAAAATTAGTTGATTTTTTTCATTGATTTTCAACAACCCAACTTTATTTTTTCTTTTATTTGTTGAGTACTTATTCAATAAGATGTTTTTTCTTTTTTTTAAATCAAAAGTCCATTCACAAAATTATTTCAAATTTCTGAATTCGATGATTCCGATTATCAGCAACATAAAGATTGCCTTCATCATCAAAAGAAAAACCACTGGGACCATTCAATTGATTTGATTGCTCTCCTTGACCATTTCCACCAACAACAATTTCACCTTCTTCTTTTCCTTCACACCAACGCATTATTCGATCATTTCCATAATCTGCCACATAGATTTGATCCAAATCATCAACAATTACTCCAAAAGGTGAAGACAGTTGATTGAGATTCTTTCCATTACCATTTCCTCCAGCCACAATTCGTCCTGTTCTTGTATCTTTTCTCCATTTCATCACACGATGATTGTCTCTATCTGATACATAAACAGATTGTTCTTCATCAACAAAGATAAAACCAGGAGTACTAAGTTGATTGAGTTGATTTCCTTTTCCATTTCCACCTGCCACTACAATTCCTTCATTGTTATATTCTCCCATTTTCCATCGTCTCAGTTCATTCTTCGCACCATCAGAAACATAAAGAAATCCATGTTTATCCATTGCTAAACCCCAACAGTCAATATTGTCAATGAGAATCTGTTGAGTTTGATTCAACCATTGAATCACACGTCTATTCCCAGGATCAGCAATGATGATTGAATGATTTTGTTGGTCAACAATCACATCTATTGGATAATACAATTGATCCATTTGATTTCCATTGCCATTTCCACCTGCAATGATTTGTCCTTCTTTTGCATTGTATTTCCATTCAACAATACGATGATTGCCGTGATCAGCAATGAAAATATTTTTCTTTTTATCAATAAAGATTCCATCAGGGCTACTGAGTTGATCTAATTTTGGTCTTTCTCCATTTCCACCAGCCACAGTGATAGCATTTTGTTTCCATTTAAGATTGGTCTTGTCTAAAACAGATGAAATTTATAGTTTCAAAGATCTCGAGAGTATGGATAAGAATGTTGCATCTATCATCCATTGATCCACTCACTTTTCATTGGTGGACAGATTCTTTGATCAGTCATTGTAACTGGATAGCAAACAGGAAGATTATTACATTGTGGATGTTGAACACACGTCGTATTAGGTTGAGAACATGAATAGTCTGATGAATTACACAGTACAAGACGGGAACATGTTGGCCAGCGAAAACCACAAATGCCTGTATTATTATTAGCACCTATTATATGAAAGAATCCACATGCACTGTTTGTTGAACATTCACCATATTGAGGTGTGTTCTTACATATTTGAGATTTGTTTTGAACTATGAAAGTGATAAACTAATACATATAAACGTATAAAATAGAATAGAAATCAAACCTGTTATACTAAAATAGAAAACTAATGAATGTTAACAAAATGAATAATAAAAATCAATAATTATTTACCTGAAAAGAATGAAAATGATGCAGCAGTAGATATTGATTGTATTCATAGTTAATTTTAAAACAAAAGAATATAATGAAAAAATATGTGTTTTTATATCTAAGATACAGATAATATCTTAAGTCAATACAATTGAAATATAACAGATGCATCTATTCACATGTCGATAAGTGCAAATTTGATATCGATTGTATTTCTTCTAATCGTTTTGATTCTATTCTGCGCAGAATACAATAAAAATGTAATTAAAAAATGCATACATCATCATGTGATAAAGTTAAGATTCAGCTGGTATTTGGTATATTTTCAAAGAGTGAAATATTTATGAATAACAGTAGGAGTGGGTAGTTTTAAGATCCGTATTTATCAACTATAAAATTTTAATCTTTATAAAAATAAAAAGTGATATGTGTGAGGGAATAGTTATTTTTAAGATTAGAAAGACCTATTGTATTTAAATGTAATTTCAGATATAATTTGAGGGTGTGGATGTGGATGAAGAAGCCAACAACGCCCAACTCATACCCACACCCTCACCCTCAAGATTTATTCTAAAATTTTAAATAAAATTTCTTTTCATTGATTTTACTTTGATAAATTAGTTTTCCATTCAATGTTTATTAAAAATTATTTCAAAATCAAACAAAAGAAGTTTATTAAAAATCCATTTTTTTTCTTCAAGTTTTAAATCAACAAACAAAAATTAAATTAGAGAATGATAAAAATTGGTTAGTTTATTAAACAAAATTCATTTTATTTCGATTTTTCATGAAATAATTCTTTTCTTTTTTCAAGTTCTGAACAATTCTGTAATTTTATTCAATCGAAGAAATAAAAATATTCAAATAGAATTCAATCAAACACACAATCTTTTTTTCAAATAATCGTCATTTCAATTCAATTCAAATTACATAATTATTTCAAATTTTTCAATTCGATGATTCCAGTAATCAGCAACATAAAGATTATTTTCGTCATCAAAAGATAAACCACGAGGACCATTCAACTGATTTAATTCCTTTCCTTGACCATTTCCACCAACAACAATTTCACCCTCTGCATCTCCTTCAAACCAACGCATTATTCGATCATTCATAGCATCTGCCACATAGATTTGACCTGAATCATCAACAATGACTCCTTGAGGTGAAAACAATTGATTGAGATTTCCCCCTTGACCATTTCCTCCAGCCACAATTCTTCCTTCTTTTGCATCTTTTCTCCATTTCATTACACGATGATTGTTCACATCTGATACATAAACAGATTGAGCGTCATCCACAAAGATAAAACCTGGAGAAGAGAGCTGATTGAGTTTATTTCCTCTATCATTTCCACCTGCCACTACAATTCCTTCATTGTATTCACCTATTTTCCATCGTCTCACTTCATCTTTCTTATAATCAGAGACATAAAGAAATCCATGTTTATCCATTGCCAAGCCATAACAGTCAATATTATCAATAAAAATTTGCTGATTCCGATTCAACCATTGAATTATTCGTCTGTTTTCTTGATCAGCAATGATGATCGAATGATTTTGTTGATCAACAATCATATCTGTTGGATGGCTCAATTGATCCATTCGATTTCCTTGCCCATTTCCACCCACAGTTATTTGTCCTTCCTTAGCATTATGTTTCCATTTAACAACACGATCATTCCAAGAATCAGTGATGAAAATAGTTTTATTTTTATCAATAAAGATTCCGTCAGGACAATTGAATTGACTTAGTTTTTGTCCTTGTCCATTTCCAGCTGCCACAGTGATGGCATTTTGTTTCCATTTATTGAATTTTGGTTCTAGAAAAGAATGAAAACAAAAGAGAAAAGATTAATTTTGCCTGAAATGCTGCTAAACAAGTTTAATGAAAAGACGAATTTTATTAAAGTTCTTTTTTTGCTAAATTTTGAAATGAATTTTACTAAAAAAGGAGATAAACTATTTGAAATTTAGAAGAGAACGAATATTTTTATTGAAAGATAGTTTGTTTGTGAAATAAACTGATAAATATTTAATATGAAAATAATCCAATTTTGTTTTTATCTTCTTCGTCGTCACATTTCATTGTTTTTCTAGTTTTTTAAAAACTTACTTTTTGATAAAATAATTGGAATATCATTAACAATTGGAATTTGATTAATAACTGAAATATCATTAATGAACGGTTGTGAATTATGTTGAATAGACATATTTGATGAATTATTTAATTCTTTTGTAATTTCTCTCAATTGATTTTTTAAATAATTTAAATCAATTTCATTAAATGCATTTTCTTGATGAATTTCTTTTATTTGTTCAGATAAATCGTTAAATTTCATTTCAATATCATTAATAGATGTTTGTGATGATTCAAGGACAATTTTTCTACATTGTTGTGCTTTTTGTTGAATTTTTTCGATAGAATTTTTTTCCCACTGATTTATTTGTTTTATTAATAAGTGATTTTGTTTTTGTTCATCAATTGTTTGTTTAAATTGATCATAATCATTAATAATATAATTTAATTCTTCATTTAATATTTGTTGATGTTCTGTTAAATGTGTTAAACAAAATTCTTTTGAACATCCTTTACAAGGATATGTTATTTTGTCTTTATTACATGTAAAGCATTGTGTCCTGTTATTTGCTCTTGCCATCTCGTTGAATATAATTTTATAAATGAAATGAATAATCTCTTTATCTACCTTTATAAATAGAAACTTAATGACCCAACGATAATAGAAGTATTGTTCGGTAGTTGAAGAAATCGAAAAAGAATTTTTTCTCGCTAATAAAACTTCAAGTTAAGAAGAGAAGAAAAAAGCACGTTTTATTTTTGATCAAATAGATTTTTAGTGCTCTCATAACGAAACAAGGTTGAAAAATGAAAAGTAAATAAGATGAAAAAAGTACGATTTTATAAAGTTGGAAATAATTTCAACTAAAAACAAAATTTTCAATATATCTCAGCATAGATACATAAAATATTTGTGATGACTGAAATTAACGATCGTTTTCATTATGAAAACATAGTTGTAAAATGATTCATTATTTAAAATGAATTTTCATACAAATTCTGTAAAAGTTTTAATGTGAGTTTTCTTTAAAATAAATTTAAACTAATATTATTACATAAAGATCTATATAATTATGTGAAAATTGAATTTTTGTTTAAATAAAATTTTTAGAATTTTTAAATAAAAAATATTTTTTCCTTCAAAATATATAACTAAAATATGAAAGAATAATACTCTTTTCTTCAATGCCTTTGAAAGTATATTATCTCATCACCGAAGAAAACTTTGGATAAATACTCACTAAACACACATAAATACGAATAAAAGAGAAAAAAATATACCAACAGTGAATCATTATTTGTTTCATTTATATATGCTTGTGTTTTCGAAATACATGTTCCTAACAGGATAAAAAGAAATAAAAATAGACTTATAAATTAATCTAATCCATTGAAATTCTATTAGTTTATTTTCTCGAAATTTTCTGATCAGTCATCAACATGAATGAATATCAGTCCAATCGAACTTTATCTCAGATTCCGCTTTCAGGTAGCAATCATACTTACATATCTTTATCATGGAGTGAATAACATGGAATCTAACATAATTGCGAGCAATTTATTAGTTGAAGGACTGCAAACTTTATGAAATTTGAAAAATGACATATCATTGAATGTCGATCGACAATAAATGATTTGAGATTAGAGGATGGGTGTGGGTTTAACATAATACTATCCACACCCACACCGTTTGATCAGTTTATTTGTTTATTTTTTTACCCTTGTTTTTGATGTTCATCTATCTGAAATTTGTCGCTGTCTTAGTTAATAAAGACATTAATCAAAGTTTTTTGTATGTTAAAGTTGAATCAGTTTTACTTGTTGATGATAAACGAGATGAACAAGATGTGGGTTTCTGCTTTATTTATCCACGCCCACACTCATTTTTGTGTTCTATTTTTTCTCGATTCTCTTTGTTGTGTGAGAAAGAACAAAGAGTATATATGTAGTCCAATGCTTTTCTTTTCAACAATCGATAGAAGTAATGTGAAAACTATATTGAACAACAACTGATATACTATCAAATATTTCGTCGAACGATTTTCCATTACTTTTTCCACTATCACTTCTAGTTTCAACCGAACAGCTAATTAACATGGGACTAGGATAGTCAGACGACTGGTTTCTGAGAGTAAGAGTGTAGGAGATAAATAAGTGAAATATCCCAAAACATTCACATTGATATCTTCAAAATAGTCAATCTATATATAGAGACATGATGTTCTTTTTTCTTTGCATGTTTATTGTATTTTACTGTACAAGTTTACAAAAAAAAACTTTGGATATTATACAAGATAATACTCATATCTTATTGTAGTCATGGGTGCTGGGCTGTACGTAATGTATGTTACTGGAGGAGGAGGAGGAGTATAGATTGTGTAAATAGGTGCTGGAATCGTTCGAATATATGTTACTGGAGCAGGATTACTAAGAATGATATAACTTGGATTGAGAAGTAAAACCATTTTTGAATATTAATATTGTGATATACAGCAATATTCCGAGTACAATTTGAACTGATTCACAGTACTGTAATGATATATATATATACGTGAAAAAAAGAAAAATTATTTTCGATAACAAATAGAAACACCTTGTTGCCTAAGAGCGTGACATTAAGTCATAATATGAAAGACGTAAGGAAAAAAAACACAATGTCGCATGTTTTTCTCCGACGCTCTAAATAAAATATAAAATAAAAATTACATACTCAATTTTATTCGTATAGTTACATATTTCATATTCACTTCTATCAATATTTTTTTTTCGCCGTAATGTACATCTCTGACTTTTGATATTTGAACGGTTGTTAGTTCCATGTGCATCAAACTTGTTTTTTCAAATATTTTCGAGGAGAAAATAGGAATAGTTATGCAATATAGTACTAATTGAAAAATAAGCAATTCTTATTGAACTTTCAGACTGAAACATTATCTCATAAAATTACGTATTAGAAAAATATCTGAGCCCATCAGTATGTAATTAAATGATTTCTTATTTTTGATAACTAAAACAAATGAAAATTTATCAATATTTGTGAAGAATGTCAAAGATATCTATTTCAAATATTCATCATCAACAATCTTATCGCGAAGTAACTTAGTGAGAAATTCGATCTATTGATAAAATTTGTATAGAGAAGGTACTATAAAGAAATATGTTTTATAATCTTTAACAAAAAAAACATGCTCATCTTATTTCTCTTCGTATTTTTTTTGTTGATCGGTGTTGGCAATGCTAAAAACCTGACTGATTCAGCAAAAACAACAACTTTCAATGATGGTCTATGTGGACCTTTGAGTAACGTACTCTGCGTCAAAGATGTGCTTAATAAAATAGTGCTTCGATCGAAACAGATTAATCGAACAGTGTTTGATATTGAAAAAGAGATTGTATGTTTCAAACTATTTTGTCTAGAAAATATATTTTTTTATTTTTATACTTACAGTTTGAATATGAACTTACTCCTGCAACGTTACGACGATATGTTCGTTTTTCAATGGCTCGAATCGAATCGAGTCTTCCAACACAACAGCTGAGTGATCAATTTTTTCTTCTCAACAATATCGATAAGGTTACAACCATTTTTTTTTACGCCATAAATTATATCCGAAAGATTTTATAGTAAATACTCAAATACCCTTACCAGGATATAACTGCATCAATGATTATGATTTTGAGGGATAGAATATGAAAAATAGACATTATGTTTTTACGCTACTGCAACTGAACTGAATACTTGATCCTATAAATTGTAACTCTGCTTTTAGCAAGCTGTGACATAGAAAATATTTCAAGAAGAAAAAACAATTATGTTTTTCTATTTTTTAGAATATACTTATCAATTTGATTACTGAAATGCATTTTGCTATGTCGTATCTGTACAATTCAATCGATTCGGTGCTCGATTTCAATAATATTTTTGAAGTCGAACGCAACATAAAGTTTAGAAATATTCAAGTTAATTTGAAAGAAATAATATGCAACATGCGCCGTATTTTGGATATTTCCTCACGCAAATGGTCTTCAATAGATCAAGTGGGTCATACGAATTTGACTAATCTTCGAAAACCTCTGCGATTCTCACCTTCATTTGCTCACTCGGTACAATCGATGATCCTAATCAAGCTACTGCGTGAATGGATGTCTCTACTCAACTCAGTTTTCTCCGAATTAAATTTAAAACTGATTTAAGAAGGTGAATCCAGAATAAAATTAACACTTGATTTTATAATGATTATTATGCATATCTATTGATTGTTATGCATATAAAATATTACCTTTGAATAAAAGCTCTAAAAAAGAATCAACCAGATAAAATTCTGTATTTATGCATAATAAGGTGTGGGTGTAGGAGAATAAGATAGGCTTATATCCACACTCACACCCTTTACTTGTTCTAATAAAGATCCAAAAGTCTTTTCATTTATATTCAATAAATTTATTCAATGAACAAATTATTAAATTAGACTAGACTGAATGAGATATCGTTTCAATGAATATTTTAGATTTTTGACAAATACCGGAATAGGAATTACAAGAAGAATGTGATAAGAAAATTCGATCAGAATATTTATATACAATGGATACATTACTATTGAGAACAAAAGAATTAGTTAATCGAATTAATCGAGTGAGGTTTTAATAGCTGAGTAGATGTTTAATATTGTTTCTTTGTTTAGATGTATTTTAATCAACACACAAGAGTAATAACGGGTGGCCCATAAAGAATGGCGGTCTCAGTATTTTGACTGTAACTTCTTTATTGTTTTAGCGTTAGAGCTGATTCTTTCACCAAAAGATGCGCCATGAGATTCTCTACAAAATCATAATAGAACATATTTTTATAAGGAGCGAAGAAAAAAAACTAGGCATCGATTATTTTACATATATAAAGGACTCAACTTTCAAAGGTAACTACTGTTTTTGAAGTAAAATGGTTAAACTTTGCATCACTTTTTTTCAAATCAAAGTATACTAGAAGATGCAGCGTTAAAAGCTCTACAAGTTACACTAAAAATCTTATTTTTTATATGCGCCGTTGTTTTCCAGAATGAACAATATTTGGCTGCACAAATTTTTAACACTTCAAATATTTTGATCCGCCGCGAATTTTCTTCTTATTTCATTTTTTTATCATCTAATACAGTCGATTAAAAGAATGAAAAGTGTATCACAAGATGCAGCATGAAAGGCTCTACGATTGGCAATGAACAGTCTACATATCGTTCGTCTTTCAAGTAAGCAGAACGCAATGTAAACAAAAATGATTAAATTCAAAGAATTAGAAATTGGTTACACGCGATTCTGTTTATCTTTAAAAACAAAACATATATTTATACAATCAGATTTTTAATGTAACTTGTAGAGCTTTTCATACTGCATCTTAGCATATACTTTGATTGTAAAATAAATACTATGAGCAGTAATAAAAAACATACAAACATTATTTATCGGTAAGACACATATTAGGTTTTGAAAGTTGAGTCCTTTATATATGTAAAATAATCGATGTCTAGTTTTTTTCTTTGCTTTCTATAAAAATATGTTCTATTATGATTTTGTAGAGAATCTCATGGCGCATCTTTTGGTGAAAGAATCAGCTCTAACGCTAAAACAATAAAGAAGTTACAGTCAAAATACTGAGACCGCCATTCTTTATGGGCCACCCGTTAACTTCATCATAATAAGAAAGGATTTTAAGAAATATTTTTATGTTGTGAATTTAAGCTTTTGTTCTTGTGTTTTTGACAGTTTCAATAAATCTGTCACTATTCAAGATGAATTGAGCGTATCTAAAACACTTATTACATGATAGATTGTGGATGCAAGATATTCTGCTTGTACCATGTAACGAAAAATAACGAGAGTGAAATCATTTCGTTATTACAATTATGCTTGTTTTATTGTAATAAATAATAAGAAACGAGAGAAGTAGTGTTACCACTACTCTCGGTATTGATATATTGATTCATTCATTTTATATTGAAACTCTTACACTGATACTTGTTCTATTTCATAAAGTATAAGCAACATCAAAATGCTTGATTTTGTGATAACTACATTCATGGTCACATTTGCATTGTTATGTAATCAGAATAATACATTTGAATCTGATGAATATAGTTGTTCATGTGATTATCTTGCGTTCATCATCCACACCACACCTTTAACAAATCGAAACTTTAGTAGTATGGATTTGTTAAATGTCTGAATTTATTAAATAAAATATTTTTAGAACAAGGAACAAAAGCTCAAATAATATTTTTAGGACAAGCAACAAAAGCTGAAGTAAGAAGGTAGAATAAAATAAGTTTAATTCATGTTGTATCAATATACTCATGTCGTCTGAACCCATTGAACCATTTCTGTCGATGGTTTCCATCCGGTAATAACCGATAATATTGTTGCTCATTCATTTGAATATAGCCAATCAGTTCTTTATTTTTCACACGCGTGCCTGTTTCATCCAATACCTCAAATGTGCGAGTTATTGTGTTTGTTTGACTCTCAGCACTTACAAAGAGACAGAAACTACAGCCAAAATTTTCAAACAATTTATCTTTCGACGACAGGTATTTTTCCATCTGTTCATTAACACCGGTCATAAAGTTGTAAAGTAAATGTAGTCCCTGTGGCTTCTGACTGTAGACGCCAATACGTGGATGAGGTATCATCCAGACAAGACTAAAACCATTTGTCTCATAAGCCGTTACATTAAATGGAATGCTTTGCAAACGTTCCACATTTTCGACGAGTTCTTGTTTCCTTTTCTTAAATTTTTGTAAAGTTTTCTGATATTTAGTTCGAACCTTATTGGCATAATTACAGTCAACCTATGAAAAAAAGTTGTAAAATAGATTAAGAAATATAACATATTTTATATCAAACAGTTCATAAGAAGCCCACTCTGTGAGTGGATAAGTCGCAAAGGCTCCTCCAGAAGGTGTGAAATGTTTTTCTCTGTGAAGTGCAAATCTCCCGTTATTTGAACGTCTGTCTCTATGTTCCTGCGTGAAAGCCAGGTGCTTTGAATGTTACGTACTCGTCAAGTAATTTCGCTTCCTTTCGCTCTACAGTATCTACGACAACTTACTTTTTCGTTCCCTTCACGACAATATTCTTCCATTGGAACACACAAATGACAATGCCATGGGGTGTCGTTTACTTGATACCTAGAGCGAGAAATGCAACCATAGTAGACTTTTAATGATGTTATGCTTACCAATCACCACGATGAAATGATAAAATCTAATAAGAAAACATACAGAAAATATATTAACAGCCATTTAAAACATTTTTTTCAACAATTGAATAACTTTTGATATATATGAAATTTTTTCAGCATCGCATTTAGACAAATGAGTAGGTGCTTCTCTTTTTAAATGCTGTTGAAACAAAAAAATACCGTTGGTCTCATTAAGTCCCTTCAGAACTTCAGCTTATAAAAAAAGACTCGGCTTTTGAAAACATAGCAGAAACTACAATGCTTCCTTTTTAAAATCAAGATGTTCATAAACTTATTGCCCACGCAAGCTTTCTTCCGAAGCAAACTTAATAATACGTACAACGTGATCATCATATTCTGGCCTGTTTTCTAAAAAATTTGTTACAAGAATCATTGTTTTGTTGATTTCATCTGCTTTTGTATTCTTGTAGACATTTCCTTTTGTTTGTCGTACAATAAAATTTAGGCGTGGTATGAATTTATGGAAGATTAATTCAACCAACTCTCCAGTATTAGGAGTACCATTTTCTGGATGTGGCATTCGATCATAATCATATGGACAAGGAGTAGCCTGAAATGAAAAAAGGTTAGATAAAAGTAATAGCGTAAACTAAGACTGTAAAAAAGATCTTACCATATTTTCTATAGTTGAAGATTAGAATTTGTATACTAAAGAAAGTTATGCTTTTCTTAATGAAGAAACCTTCACGATGCTTGTTTATATATATGCTTTTTCTTTTACCTTTGGAAACATCCATGTTTTTCCTTCTTTTATGGTTTTTTCCCACTATTATTGGAAGTAGGCAGCTATTTTTTATTTGTTCTGTTCTTATTGTGCTCTTTTCATGTTTTTTCATGCGTTTTAACGTTATAGTTGAAACACGTGTAAATACTTTTGAAGAAACGCGCATCTGAATCGTATTCCGTTTGCATTCTCAAGATTATTTTTTCATCAACTAAAAAATATTCTTTGTTAACTAATACAGATATTCTTTTAAATACTTGAGTATCTAATAAGAACAAGTATAGATTTACATTCTGAAAGTAGAAAGAAAAGAAAGGTCGTTTATACATGATTGTCATAGATTATATCTAGACTAAATTTACCTAATGTTCTGTAATATTTGTTTTTATTTACGAAAAATGATCAACAAAATATAGTAAAAAGGATGTTTACTCCATGTTTTTGAACTTTTCATAATTCATATTTATCGGTATGGGAGAAGAAAATATCTTATTTATTTCGTTTTCTATTTTTTCTTTTGAGACGTTGGGTTGTTTTCAATATATTATGTGAGAGAATCTCTCTACTTGAAAATGTTGCTATCAGCTTGTTGTTAATCAGAAAATAGGTATATATCAACTGGGAAAAATATTTATTACTTTTCTTTGTCAAGACTAAGAACGGAGAAAAGAATATTTTATTTTCATTTGTAATTCAGCGCATTCACGATGCTGTAATATAAGAAACTTTTTTTCTATTGGAGAGTGCCGATTAGAAGAAAATATTTTACGATCGGAAGAAAGAAAAAAATTTCAGCAAAAAATGTCTTTCTTTAAAACGTTTTTTTTTATGAAACAAACGTCATTTAGGCACTTATGTATCTTCCGAGAAAAATAAGAATAACTTTTTTCCTTTCATAATTAGTCGAATATTACCTTGAGAAAGAGAGTATTTGTGAAAATAAAAAATCATTATACTATTTATCTGAAGGTGAAAAACAGAGAAAAGAAACGTTGTTTCAAATAGTATTCATTCTACAATACTTATTTACATCTTCAAATACTTGATGAGGATAATCGATAGAATGCAGTACAAACGGTGTCAATAAGGCTTTTCACAATATCCTTTGTTCATTCCAGATCACCTCGTTTCTACTTTCACTCATAAGTCATAATCTTCCATGACAGATATATAGTCTGTTTAGTTTAGGGTCCAACAGAATTAGGATCAAAATTACGAACGTTGCTTCTGTGGAACAGAGTTCAGGACAACTATTACTGTTCAAAACGGGATCGGCACTCCGGGATTTCGAGAGAATATTTTAGTAGGATTGAGGTCTGAACGAAATTTATGAGTAGAAGGCAATATCGCTACTTGTATCCCGAAAAGATATTTTGTTAGGATCAGGCTCGGAGCGGGTTTCTTCCATCTAGGGAATGGTCGGGAATGGAACAAAAAACTTTGATTCCATCAGACCATATTTTAGTCGACGTATCATCTATTTCAATCATCCTAAAGTATTTTTAAACGGCAGCAAGTGTGACAAAGTATTCGGACAGCCACTAAGAATACATTCCACACAGATTAAAAACACCGTTAAAAATTGATCTTAGCATCACATTAGTTGAAATCTTAGATAATTTTCAGTCTATGTTGGAACTGTAATGATAAGACTAGAAAAATTTTGAAACGTGTGTCATACATTTTAAGGAAGACATAGTCAAACAAGAATCAATAATGACTCAGTTTGTTGTCAAGAAATGTCTGAAGACCTTCATTTAGTATCTTTTTATACTATTTATTTGAAAGAATGTATCAGTAAGCACGACTTTTAGGAATCTGTTTTTTAAGGCGCTGCCCTCTCAAACGGTTTTCTGCTGGAGCGGTGCTTTTCAGCTGAAGTTTACAGAGGTAAGTGTTTTTGGTAAGATATAGGTGCAGTAAATATTTAATTTTTATGGATTCAGTTTAACTGAATTTTTTCGATCTGATTTATAATTCTTTATGAAAATTACATAACTTTGTCATAACGGACCGTGTGAAGAATGTGATGTGACTGTGGTTGCCTTTTCTTTTCTACTACCTGCACTCACATCCCTCAAGAAAATATTAGTTTTGAGTTGATGTGTCAGAAAAGCGCTTCATCTTGCGGGTGTGGATAATGGGCACGGGTAGGTATGTTTTTACCTCACACTCTCGAATATAGAAAATCAAATAGCTGAGGACACTAACATAAAAATCCACCCTTATAAATTATGCTTCAATAATCATCTGAATACAAGAGTTCATACATAGAATACAAATTGAATGAGTCCTTTGTTTAGAGGTGTGAATTATGTAGACATACCATTCGAGAATGAAATCAAATTTATCCTCAACATCTGTATCAAAATTTACGGCGTTACAACGTCAGCACAACATTATATACGATTCAATACTAGTGTGTCTCAACACCGAAACCAATGAAGTTTATGATAATACTGCTCCATCAATCGGTCTACTCCGACATAGCTTCAGTCATGTTGAGACATTCATTGATCCTATTGCTTGTACTAACTTTATCACCAGAACTTGGCAGAATAGTGTATTTGTGATAGTTTCAAGTACATTCAGCGAGTATATCATACCAATTATTCATGAATTACCGCAAGTTTATTCCATCTACATTTTGTGCTCGAAGAAGACTACAGACAAACAACTGTCAACGTCTTCCAACAAATGTAGAGGTGTCTTTAGTAACGTCGTGCTTCTTTCGGATTGTATAGAGTGGGATACTCGTCGACGCGAGCACAATCTCATATCTATTACCGATTCTACAGATTCGTTAGAAAATACACGAACGGCAGATGGTTGTGGTTTCATAGGATATTTATTTGGTGAACATATGTTACCGAAGATTATTCACCAGCTACCATCTAATGAGAAAGACAAGCAAGAGCTCATAAACATTTGTCGTGAAGTATATGCTGGTAACAGTGCGGAATTACGCATCATAGAAGAGTTCACACAGAAGTATACATCTGATTGTGCCGTATGGTGGTACTCTAGACAAAGTTTCCTCTTTCGTATGCTCAACTACGCCCTACGTATCCCAAAAATTTCGCTTCTCTACAAGATGCGCTTCGTTATCCAAGATTTACAGAAACAACTCGCAGAGTTATACTCATCCTCATCTTCTTCACTTTCCTACCCGATCATCGTCTACAGAGGGCATATGATGATCACTGAACAATTTGAGAAGCTTTTACAACATAACATCAACGGCTTTATAACATTTAATACATTTGTGTCAACGAGTCGCAGTATTAATGTGGCAAAAATTTTTATAGGTCGTGAAGCAGGCCATGAGCCAATACTTTTCGAGATTAGCATTGATGGTCCAGTAAAAGATGTATATCATGTCGACATTCAACAAATAAGCGCGAATAAGGACGAAGAAGAAATTCTTTTTTCAGCTCACACCAATTTTCGTGTTGACGAAGTGCGAAAGCTAGATACCGAAATCTGGCTCGTAAAACTGAAATTGAGTGATAATGACGAAGGTCTAAATGGTCTAATGAAATTCAGCGGAGCGACAGGTTTATATGAACTGACAAATTTTCTGGTGCGCCATCATCCTAATTTTGATCTTATCGGAGAGCTCTATGAATTGCTGTTAAACACAACTATTGATATGAGTATTGACAAAAGACTAGAGATATGTTTCAAAATGGGTCTTCTTAACGAATGTGAAGATCAAACAGAAGATGCAATATCTTACTATGAACAATTTCTCGCTCTGTTACTTGATATTATAGTTCCTAATCATCCTAATTTATTATTTATCTACAACATTATTGGCTCTCTTTATTGGCAACGTGGCGAGCTATACAAAGCCCTACGGCATTATCAACGAGCGTCCGACATAGACGCCCATAAATCACAGACCGATCACCATGAAACTGACAGCAACGATCAGTCTCTCGAAGATGTGTACAACAATCAATATAAATACACTGTTGCGTGGGAAGATTATCAACGAGAATTGCAGATAGATCGGAACCTTCATTGGAAAAATCATCGTGCATGGATAAAGCCTGACTCGTCAAAAGATGAATGGACTGATAGTAAGTCGTTAAATCCCGACATTACAGAATCTGAGAACATTATCATTATTCCTACGGTAAAAGAACTACTGCCAAAAATTAAAATAAAGAAACACGATTTAATCCAGGCAAAGCATTGTTTATATCATCATTGCAATCCCACCGTGACATACTTCAAAAAAGCTACAGAATTCAATAGTGTTGGTCAATATGCAAATGCCATCTATAACGCTGAAAAGGCTTTCAATACTGCGTGCAAAGCATATCCGCCTAATGACACCGCAACTATTTCTGCTTTAAAAGCTTACTTCGACACTTTAGCTCTGAAATACTAATGTTACGTAGGGAGTAAGACTAGCTGAGCCACACCCGCCCATCTTCATCCATCAACATTAATTACATATACTGCAAAATGACTAGTCTATGATAGTCTTGAATGTAATTTTATTATTATGTAATCTTTCATTGATTATAATAAATCTAAACAAAACTAAAAAAATCATTTTTGTTTTGAAAATTTATTAGTTTGATAGTAAGCAATACAATTTATATGAGGATTAAAATCAAAATACACATATTATGCAAATGCGAGGCAGACAGACGTAAATGTGTGTATTAGCATCTGAGTACTGATTTTATGTCTCACATACTCAGTCTGTCACGAAAATATCAATAATGGTTCATACAATACACTTGTTCTTCGCTGTTATTTGTCGGAGAATGTCAATATTTTAGATAAGATTAGCAGCCCATTTAACTGCATTGATCATCATAGTGCTCAAATTAATATCGTTTGCCCAGTTAAAGTTTGCATCACTAGCACTGAAGTGACCAGCGTGTGCAATTTGAACAACACGGCCTACTGTTGCTAGAATGGAACTAGGTCGAACAGCAACTCCAGGTCCTCCATCGCACTGCGAACAGGTGGCTAGAACTGTACCATTATTAATAAGTGATCCACCTGTATTGCAACCGACTATCGATGTACTTGTAAATGAAGCAGAAAGATTAGTCCAAATGGGATGATTTGGAATAGTTAAATTCATTTCTATGTTCGTGGTAGTACCAGAAGATCGTGTAAAAAGTTGCAATGGAAGTAAAGTTGTCCACAAGCCGATAGAGAACTGATAAGCTGCCCATTCAGTTAGGACCACGCCAGTAGCATTGTTTTGTTGTGCATTTAAAATCGACTGTTGTCCACTGGCAGGCATATTATAGCCATACGAATTACTATTAACAATGATCACAACTCCAAAGGTAGCTGCATCAGGTGTGCCATCATAATATTGAACATTATTAGAACTATAAGTACAACTGATCCCAGCTGATTGTAAAAAATTGATTAAATTTTGTACAGCTGCTTCAGAATCACTGAGAAGTAGAGCTGTATATTTCGGCACTACAATAAATTTTTGAAATTGAATATTCTTCCAGTAGAAATTATTAATAAGATGTTTTAAAGACAAATTTTTTTAAACGATTTAATCTGACCAATTTTAAGTAATTCCACTACATATGTCTCCCTCTCCTTTAAATTTATTTACACAACAATAATTTCTCATCGATTCCCTGTTCATATCCTCTTATGTAATGAACACTATCATAGAAAAAACAAAACTTTACAAATATTCGAAACATGAGATAAAAGATCGATCTAAAGATGAAGACAGTATTTAATGTCTAATTGTATAGTTCAGTTTATCATCTCATCAGTCAAGACAACATAAATGAGATAACTGCTGATTGCAGTACATTAATCTTAAATTTTCTATCAAAACTGATTCACCTTCATATATATTCTGTTCCTAAATTTTATCTGGGATGATTCATCTATTGTACAATAAGTATAACATTGATAGTCAATAATGCTTCTTAAACTACACCGAATATAACTATAAATCAATATTATTAAAACAACAACAGCAACAGACAAAGTTGTCACAGCAATCCCTGATAGGATTACATTGTGAAACAGAATCTAATTGTTGTTTCTAACTTCAAGAAGATAGTTTAATAGTAGCATTATGAAACGGTTTTCATTTCGTTCTGTAGCATAAACGTATAGGAATATTAGACAGAAATATTTTACATATTATGAACGCACTTGATGAGCATTCTAACAGTTGTTACGAAATTAAAGAGAAAATAGCTTAATATAAAAGAAATTACTAATTGTATCTATCTTTCATAAACAGTATGAGTGCAATCGTCACGTCTGTGGAGGAGAGCGAGTGTAAATTTCTGTCCGTAAACATGCCAACACTCCTTTTAGGTCGTGTTTCACAATGTCCGTTATTCCGCAAATAATTGATAATAGCAAAAATTATCAAATTTATAGAAATAATTATTTGAAAAGTTTACGAGCGAGTACTCGTATAGGTCTAAATTTATTATGCATGTAATTAATCTCATTGCATGGAATTTATATTCGTACGAAATAGAACTCACTATAAATTTAGAAGAATATGATAGATATTAATAAGGATTCCTTCTAAAAGTAGTAGTCTATTGTATTGCTGTTGCTACATTTTTCAATCGAAAAAAGACACGGGTAAAATTTAATTCGAAGTCTTTACAAAGCTAGTTCAGGGAAATTATTTGTTAATTACTTACTAGGGGTTATACCAGATTGACTAGTTGTAATGTCTGAATGAACTGAAAAGCAAAAGAAGAAAAAAAGCTATTGGCTAGAGTCAGCGGCACTGTTACTGCATATTTTACCTGTTGATGTTGGTGTTGTTGTCGATATTTTAGTGGTAGTTGTAAGCTTTTGAGTAGTTGTTGCTGTTGATGTTTTAATGGTAGTCGTAGTCTTTTGAGTTGTTGTTGTAACTGAATCAAAAGAGATAAATTAACCACGAAATAGACATATTTTAGAGAGAAAATATAATAAAACCACGCTTACTCTTTGTTGTAGATTTAGTTGTGCTTGTTGTTTGTCCTATTAAAAGATAGAAATAATTTATTCTAGATCAACTAATTATTTTTTGTTCTAATCGTTTTAAACTCTGCAAGACAAAATACCTTACCTGCAGTTGTTGTTCGTAATGTTGTAGCTGTTTTTGAGAAGAAAAAACAAATAAAACTAAATTAGTTATTAGAAATTTTTTTTACTTGTAACAGTTTTTGGTGGACAAATTTGTTTATTTGCCATGGGTAATGGATAACATATTGGTTGACCACATCGTGCACTATTCACACAGATTGTACTCTCGATTGAACAAGTTACATTATCCATATTACATCGTACAACACTTGCACAAGAGAAAACAGTTGAAGCACATATGCCTTTGTTCGAATTGGATGTTAATGAAAAACAATCGCAATCAAGATTCGATGAACATGATATTCCTTGAGAATTGCATGCAGTAAAATTACATGTTGCTGTTGTTGTTGAATTAACTAAGAAATAAATAATAAGGAAATAAAGGAAAATAATAGTCATTATTATTGATTACTTTGTTGTTGTTCTGATGTGTTTCTATCGTTAAAGACGAAGAAAAAAGTATATAACATGTAGAACTTGATAATTAATACTTACACTAAAAGTAGCACATAGAATAATAATATAAAGCTTGAACTCAAAACTTTCACCATTGTGAGATACAATAGTATGAAGTATTAAGTAAAGAATATTCTTTTTTTATTACTTTTCGTTACGTTTGTTATATAAGCGTTGTGAAATAATCGAACGAGAGCCGACCAGCTTTATAGCTACAAACTGAAATAATTTTTTTTTAAATGATAAAATTCACTGCCTTTTAATACTTACAGTTGTCGACTAAAATTTTAAGTGTGTTGGTGAAGAAAAAAAGATGTTTAAAAATCTCAACTTTACTAAATTATATATATGATGATTGAAAAGAGAAAAGAAAATGAAAGTAAACAAACCATGCTACTTCCTTTTTAACAAAACAAAACATTACCTCTGGCAGTTAATTTTAACAAAAAGCTTTGACTAAAAAGAAAATTGTGCAGCTCGAAATTTCCAACTTATATTTGTTTATTGATGTGGCATGAGTCGAGATGATGAAATCATCTAGTCTACCTTCGCCGACCAAAATTCGCCGAAAATGGACTTCACCAAATCGATTTTCGTCGAATAGATTTATCAAGAAAAGCTGGGAGTGGGTATCGACGTGGATAAGGGTGTTGGTGTGGGTGCGGATATGGATGGATGCGGGGTGGGTGTAGGTGTGGCTGTGGGTGAGGGTGTGGGTGTGAGTGAGGTTAATAGAAGTGATACTCACACCCATGCTCATTTTTAAGATTTTTATAATGGGAATAGATTAATGATTTATGAGTTCGAACATAACCAAATACTTCTCGAGAGGTTGCGAATCCTAAAATGTATTTAGAATGCTTTTTATCTGAAACAAATTTTTGGGCTTGAAAATAATAGTTAGTAGTCAGCTAAGGATATTTATCAAATTAAATTAAAGCCTGATAAAAATTACTAAAGTCCCGGTATAGCTCATACTGAGAATTGAAATGAATAGGTGTATTCGTCATATTCTTTCTTTTGTTAAAATCTTGAGGGTGGATGTGAGTAAGGGTAGGTATGGTTGTGTGGGTCTGGGTGTGAGTATGGGTTAGGGATGCAAATAATGCCCACACCCATACCTACAACCACACTCACACTCACACTCACATCCACCCAACGTTCATATCTACACCCTCACTCACACCCGCAAATCCACACTCGCACATACTCTCGCTCATGCCCACATCCACACCCAGCGGTGGTCCGAGTCAGTCAACATTGGAAGGGGGGATGTAACAAAGTTTTTAGAGTAAAAAGGTGAATTTTGCAATTTTTGGAGGGGGTGTAGCATTATCTTTGGTAAAAAACCTAACAAGATTTGCCGATTTTGTTGAGAAAAACACAGAAATTTCGAAAGATTAGGGGATTACGCCCTCGGTCGCGCCACTTGTACCCACATCTACCCTCACTCTCACCCACACCCTCGAAGCACTTTCTATAAGCTCTTGTCGCGCGCACACAAGAAAATCAAAAGAGAAAGACAAAACATTCGGATAGAACACAGAACTTTATTGATTAAATATCAACAACAAAAGTTACTTCCATGTATAGCATCTAATCCGACTGTATTGGTGTTCTAAGTGGTCCAGAAGAGATGAAGAAATCCGATTGTTGCCGATCCATAATTCATTGAGTGTCTGTGAGTAAAGATAAAAATAGATATGAGAAAGATGAAGAGAAAATAATGATCACCTTATTATCTCGCAATGCATCAGCGAGGTGTCTTGCACCAGCATCACCAGTTTGAGTCGCGCTAAGGTCTAACCTAATAAGTGTCTATGAGTATAGGTGAAAATATATACGACCGTAACGAAAAGAAAATAATAATTACCTTGTTCTCTCGCAGTGCATCAGCGAAATGTTGAGCACCAGCATCACGCATTGCATTATTGTAAACATACAGTTCCGTAAGTACCTATGAATAGAGGTGAAGATAGATATGAGAAAGGTATAGAAAAACTGATGATCACCTTGTTATCTCGTAACATATTACTGAGATATTGTGCTCCAGCAGCACTGATGAAATTCGATCTAAGATCCAGCACGGTGAGTGTCTTTAAATATAGGTGAAGATAGGTATAAGATTGATGAGGAGAAAATGATAATCACTTTATTCTCTCGTAATGCATCAGCGAGACATTTTACACCAGCATTACCAATTTTGTTGCATTCAAGGTCTAGTAAGGTGAGTGTCTGTGAGTAGGGGTTAAGATAGATATGAGGTAGATCAAGAGGAAATGATAATCACTTTGTTCTCTCGTAGTGCATCAGCGAGATATTGTGCGCCAGCATCATTGATTCTATTTCTTTCAAGGTTGAGCAAGGTGAGTGTCTGCGAATAGGGGTTAAGGTAGATATGAGAGGGATGAAGAAGAAATGATGATCACTTTGTTCGCTCGTAATGCATTAGCGAGATACTGAGCACCAGCATCACCAATCCGATTGCTATAAAGATTCAGCACGGTGAGTGTCTGTAAATAAAGGTGATGATGGATATGAGATAGATGAGTAGAAAATGATAATCACTTTGTTCTCTCGTAATGCATCAGCGAGATATTTTACACCAGTATCACCAATTTTGTTGCATTCAAGTTCAAGCCTGATAAGTGTCTGTGAATATACAGTGATGATCAAAATTATAAGACTACTACCATGTTTTCGTTAGTTGTGAGCCAAAGAAATGCCAGTTTCTTTTGAAAGTTGCCCAGGCAAATAGAGGAGTACCGGCTAAATGTTTCTATGAAAAAAGAATTTGAAAATGATCTTTGTTTGAACATGAAAAGAGAGGGTCTGATTAAACCAAAACGGGTGGAAAACTTCATCTGAACTCAATATTTTTTATTTTTAGCTACGATATTTGTAGCAGAAGTAGAATTCATTTTTTATCATTAAAATCTAATAATGCATATATTTTACTATAAAACGAAACATTTTCATGTTCAAACAAAGATCATTTTCAAATTCTTTTTTCATAGAAACATTTAGCTGGTACTCCTCTATTTGCCTGGGCAACTTTCAAAAGAAACTGGCATTTCTTTGGCTCACAACTAACGAAAACATGGTAGTGGTCTTATAATTTTGATCAGTACTGTAGATGAAAAAAATATGAGAATGGTGACGAGGCAATCTTGATTACTTGGTTCTTTCGCAAGACATCAGCAAGACATTGAGCATCAGCATCACCAATCTGATTTCTATATAGATCCAGCACGGTGAGTGTCTATGAATAGAAATGAGCAGCAAATGATAAACACTTTGTTCTCTCGTAATTCATCAGCGAGATATTGTGAAAACCGAATTTCTAGTAGGACAATTTTTTGGAATTTTTATGAGAGTTTATTTTAATATATTTAAAAGTAGTGTATTTTTTAATTTTTATAGGTTTTTCTGGAAGTATCTATTATTTCATAAGAATTCCTAACGTTCTTTTGACAGTGTTTTCTTTGGTCGTAGATTATGAAGAAAAATTCGCTTAATTTTGAATCAGACTCTAGCATCCATGACAGATCATTGCATGATCATATAAGATATTAGAGTAAGATCGTATATGCTCAGACAAGATCGTACGAAAAATCGTCGTTCACGCAATCTTATTTCAAGTTTGACTATAAATTACATATAAGATTCAACAACATGATCTTATGTGATCAGACAAGATTATACAGTACGATCTGTCTGGATTTCTTCAGATCTTTGTATTATTATTAGTTTTCTATACCTTACTTATAATTGAAATCGACTGCATATACCCAAATGATTCAATCCTACTTCCTGAGCTCATCAGGAGCGATCGGATTCGATATCGTAACACACTGTGTTCTGACGTTTTTTCCCTTGTAAACAGAAAATAATATACTCCAATGGGTCCATCACTATATCTATTTTATAAGACTTTGTAGACTATTATAAGGTTTAAGCAATTTTTAATCATGTTTAAGAATATTTCTCTGAGTTTTTTAATGATAGAAAGCATAGATACATGATGAAAGTGAAACTTCTTAACAAAATCAAACAGATTACCTGAAACAGATCGTATGTATCTGTGATAGTATTGAGTCTTGTGCAGACATTACGGCATGACCGAATAATTGTTATTGGCTCGAGGTTATCGAGAATTCGATAAACTAATTCTACTGGCAATGTGGTAAGTGACCACTTCATGTTCCTAGAAATTAATTTTGTTGCGTCCGACGTGTCGATGTTCCACTTAAATATGTATGCTTTAAAATACTTTGGTATCTGAAAAGTATTCTTTATGGTATATTGAGAGTGAGCATGTGCGGATAAGGGTATATTCTCAAGTTCTCGGCTTATAGTTTCGACTTTTTTCTGAATTTTGTTTTCTCAAGATACTACGCTTGGGGAGTTCTTTCGTTAATCTCTTAGATATTCGAAAAAACCATGTTGAGGGTGGGTGTAGGTGTGACATAGTCTTGTATTCATTCACACCCGTACCCATCATGACAATGAAGATAATAGTAAACAGCTTGGTGTAAATGCCAAGGAGCGAATATGGATATGAATCTCATAGCCATCTCTCAATAATTTCATTCTCATGACGTCCTCACACCGTACACTTTAACTGACAAACCACATCATCATATATACCAGAGCACCTAATGGGCTGGGCTGAGCCCATAACCGCCCGGCCCAGCCCAGCCCATGGGCCAGATTTCTCAAAATAAAAAACCATGGGCTGGGCTGGGCTGACTCAATTTCTGATGGGCGGCCCATACATTAAGTTTTGATCAAAATATTAAAATAAACTATTAGAAGCTGATGAACTAACAAGATATTTGTCTCTGGAGCTCGATAAGTCTAAATTGTTTTTCAATTCTCTTGACTTTTAGAAAGATTATCAAGTAGCTTTTCCTATTTTATCAATACTTGCTAAGTAAATATAATGGATTCCTGTATCTTCGGCAGCAGTCGAAAGGTGTTTCAGCTCAAGGGGTTTTATTGTTAATGAACGCCGATTAAGTTTAAGTCTTAATCAACTAGATAATATAGTAGTAATTCGTTCAATAAAAACTTTACAAAAGTAGTATGTTTTTTCTGCGCCTCTTATTCCTTTATTAACAATATATTTTGTATTTATCTTAGGATTTATAATATTTTTGTTTGTTTTATATAAACTATATTGATGTACGAAAACTGATATAACTTCTTTTCTCTTTTGATTTATTTACACTTAAAAAATCTATTTGTTATCATGAAATTCAAGAAACTAACAGTGATTAAACTTATAAAATAAAATAAAAAAGAACGATAATAAATACTTGTAATTAAACAGATAACGCAAACTATGTATACGCCAAATTTTAATAAGACATGCAGCCCATGGGCCGGGCCGAAGTTTTATGGCCCATGGGTTGACTTTTTCAGGCCCAGCCCGGCCCATTAGGTGCTCTGATATATACTCTCATCTGCACTAATACCTAAACTCATAGATATGGTGTTTTCTCTTTTACAACCTTCTAAAGGAATAAAACAAGTTGCAAAAATGAAAATCTCTGCAAAGGCATTTAAATCATTGAAAAGTCATAGAACCGGCCTAGTAGTCTAATTGGACTTTATGCTTAGGAGAACTTTTGTGGTTAAAATGGGCAACTGTTTGTACAAGAATATTTATTCAAACTCTACGTCACACACATTGATCTCGAAAAGAAAAACAAACTCTATAAAAAAAGATTGGTTAAGTAATATTTACTGACTTTAGTTATGTATGAATCACTTGCTATTTTGTCGTTTTGGATGTGTATGTTAGTAATAGTTTCTTTTGTCAGAATGAATAAAAGTATGCACAGCACATAGAATTCACCTTTTATATATGAAGCTGAGGCAATTCTTTTATCTTGGTTGTAAAATAATGACAACCACGATTATATATTCAAGTCGGTAAGAAGTATTCGTTTTGCTTTTATTGACGATGATATTATTTATCTTTATAGAGTTGCTTCTCTACTTGCAAAAGATAACAACAAAAATCTTGACAAGTGTGAATACAGATGTAGATGTGGGTATTATATTCAACCTTTTCGCACAGTCACATATACATCACTGGTGTAACCGAGGGAAGGAAAACGGATAACTCTCTATTTCATTTAAAGCTTTGTCCATCTAAATTTTACTTTTTCAAAATTGTTTATTTAGTTTCGAATAGGACAATAACTGAATGTTATTCTTCCGTATGAATCATACGCACTCTCGGTTTTTTGTTCTTCTTATGAAGAATGAAGAAGACAAGAACAAAAGGATCGTTTCTTATATCTTAACTTGAGGGTGGGTGCGGGTGTGGGTAAGGAAAGAAGGAATACTTACTTTTCACTCATATATCCATACCCGCGCTCTCGCCCATACTCACATCCATACCCACATCTACCTCGTAATAAAAGACTCGTAGATTTAAAAAATCATATTGATTCTCAATGCACACATACGGATACATATATTATATTTTACATAACAAAAAGCAACGTTTACATAAGGTAAAATGAAAAAAAAGTTTTTTTTATTATATGTTAGCGAAATCAAATATTAATTAACGGAGTTGATGAGCTATCTTGTTTGTCCTTGTGAGAACGATTAACAGAATCTCGTTTTAACTTTAGAGAATGTTGTTGACTAAGATATAACTATAAATAGAAAATAAATGAGATATACAATAAAAATCAATCGTATTCTAATACTCGATTCAATGAATCTAATAATTGATCAATTTTATCTGGAAAAGATTCAATTGGATCATAATATTGATCACGCATTTGTTGATCACGTTCTTCATATTCTCTCCATTGATCGTCATGACCAATCTCTAAAATTAAATCATATAATAACATATAAGAAAACAAAATCTATTACTTGTCCAACGTTGAACTTTATTAAACATAAATCTAACAATCTGTTGATCATGATTATGATTAAATTTAAGATTATTTCGAACAACACGAAAATTATCACTTATAATTGTAATAAACATCGTCATACA